TTTCTTATATCCTAAGCTTCTGTTAGAAAAATTGTGTGTTATTTAAAATAAAAATATATCAAATATTTTCACATTCAGTGATTTTTTTTTTTTTCAAAATGATAAAATAATGAAAAAGTAGATCCTGTGGTAGGAGACGTAGGTGTGACTCGTCGATTCAAATCGTCGGCGCATTTTTCGTTCGACTGCAACTCGACTCTAAGTAGATTATTGATCGATCAGTGTTGAATTCTCACTGCATTGTAAAGTAGCTGATGAGTATTGTAATTTAGTGTATTGATTTTACCTAATTGAATTCATAGGGCACCCTAACACCAAAGCATTTGTAACTCATGGCGGCATGAATGGTGTATATGAAGCTATATATCATGCTGTTCCAATTGTTGGATTTCCTTTGTATGGTGATCATTATGATACTTTCAACAGAGTATCTAGTAAAGGCATGGCAGTTATTCTGAATATTGGTACGCTGACTCCAGATGAACTCTACAATGCTGTTATCAAAGTTATTAACACTCCCAGGTGAATAGTTAAAATATACCATGCACTGTACATGAAGGAAACTATGACAAAATAATTTCACAGCTGCCACATCATGCAAAAAATTGTTTGTATCAGTTTTATATCATTTAAGCCCAACAAAGGAAATTAAAAATTAACGAGGACCGACAGGGATAAATATTTTCACTTTCACTTTACCATATATATATATATATATATATATATTCTTTGTTGCAGACCAAAAAGAAATAACTTTATTATTTTATAATATTGATAAAATATTTTGTATGATATATATTTGCTTTTAAGCTACAAGTTATACGTTTTTCATTCCAGTTATAAAGAGAATGCAAAGAAGATATCAGCTATACACAAAGACAAACCCATGTCAGCAGGTGACACTGCTGTATTCTGGATTGAATATGTCATCAAACATGGCGGCCAACACCTCAGGGCTGAAGCTTTTAATCTGAGTTTCATCGAATATTTTTTGATCGATATTGCAGTCTTTCTAATTGTGGTAATTGCTGTCGTCTTCTTTGTATTAAAGAAAGTGATAACTGTAATTTGTAACATATATTGCAACAAGAAGATCATCAAGATGAAGGTCACTTAAAAGTTGTGTTTTTGATGTTGATTAAAGTTAGTATTTGTAACACACTATACGCTTGTAAGTGGAACAGTTTGCATTTAATACAAAAATGACAATGGCAGTACTCAGGGAGGCAAGCATGGTGAGGGTTACCTGCTTGATTCGTGACCGCCAGCTGCGTTTCTTCGGGCATGTTGCTCGCTTCCCGGGGAACGACCCTGATGGCCAAATTCTATCTGCACGGAATCCTGGTCGGTGGGAACGGCCCGTGGAGAGACCAATATCATCGTGGCTGAGGCAGATGAGCGGGTGTCTCAACTAATTATAGGCTGTGCCCAGGCTTGGACACCTGCTTGGAGATGGCCTGAGGAGTGAGCGCAGCAAGGGACCACCCTGGCATGTGCCCCCATGAATGAATGAATATATGCCCAAACGGAGTAGCAAAGACAGGCGTTTTAATGGGTCAAAAATGATTAGCAGTCTTGGGCGTGTAGCGGAGCCTTGCAAACGGCAAAAAGGAACCGAATGTCCGTATTCAAAGTAATGCCCTTTGACATCCACTGCTTGGTTCAAGCGAACATCACGATGGATGGAATCTGGCAAGGTATGGCTTGTGCTGATGGTGCTGCTTCTCTGAACCATGCTGTCTGAAAACGAAAGAGAGCATCCGCAATTATATTAGATTTACCAGGTATATGAACAGCAGAAAACCTGAAGCTATGGCATGCAGCAGTAATCACCAAACATCGCATTAGTTTCATAATGGGTGGCGATTTAGTGACCTTTATTTACGATGTGAACAATAGCCATGTTGTCGCAGTGGAACAGTATATGCTTTCTGGTTTATTGATGATCCAAAGAGAAAGTGGCTACAACCATGAGATATAGTTCCTGGAATGCGATAGACAGAATATTGTCGTGATCGAGTTTAAGGTATGTTGCCCATCTTTCATGAAAGCAGTATCCTCGGAAATACCCGCCATGGCCGATGCCACTAGCATCTGTGAATAACTGCATGTCTTGGGCAGGAGTGAGGTGTCTGTATAGGAATAGTTAAATGCCATTCCACCCAGAAAGAGATTTATCCAATATGCAAATGTCCTGTTTACTTTCGGATGAAATGCTAACATATTGGTGGAGTTTCTGAATGCCTTTTGAAAGTTTGTGACATGAAAGTACGACCCAGATGGACTACGTGGCAAAGGAAATTGAGGTATCTGAGCAGACTCAATTGCTGTGCTGGCGCTTTTTGCAGGATTCGCATTAGAGAAAATCGTCAGACATATGAAGAAGGCGATTAAGCTTAACCAGTGGCAGAGGGGCCTCCATTTGATGGTATCAAGTTTAATACCAAGAAACTCTAATAATGTAGTAGGACCCATGGTCCATGCCGTTGTTCTCTCAGTGTCTTGGGGTGGTGCATAGATTGTAAGAAAATCAACAAATAGATTATTCATGTTATTACCGTAGTTATGATGAGCGATCCAGCAAATGGCAGTTGAGAGTTGATCAAAAATTGTTGGACATATTTGGCAAAAAAATAACTTTATCATAAAGGACATCAGAGAACAGTGATTTATTGACTGTTTGCGGACATTGTATTTGGTGGCCAGGGGTATCAATACAAATTGGGGACCATGTAACTCTTTGGTTTGATAAATTGTATTAACATTATGTATTTGAAATCAATGTTTACAGGCCGAGGTGAGCCTGAAACAGACGTCAATGACAATAGAACACAGTGCATAACTTCGTAGTTGTGAACCGGAAGATGGGTTCAGTTACATAACCATGAACCAGGGGCATTTATTAGGCAAAGGGTGAAGCGGAAACAGACCTAACAACCCTGAAGAATATGCTAATTCTGTCTAATAATCGATATACTGATATTTTTTGCTACCAAAGTAAAACCCTTGTTTGCAATTTAAAACCAGCAGTTCTTGAACACAGTTTGACAAAGTCAAAGGAAAAACATCCCAGTCTTCAAACAAAGACGATCGTCGTCTTGTGAAGAAATTTTCGTTACTGTCAACTGAAGCGAAATATGAACTCCGGTAAGTCTAATGACACTGTTATCATTTATTGACATTAAGTTGCAGAACAATTGGCAGCATGCCATTTACAAATTTAATTACTATTTGTAACACCTAGGCAGAGCGAAAGGACTGATCCTCACAGTCAGCAATGACAGTTTAGTGTAAAAGGATAATAACATTATTGCCTCCTGGATAAGCAATGTGCGATGTTTGCAATTCATTTTGGAAACTGTCACAGACATGTTCGGTCTGAGTTGCAGTGTATAGTTACATTTAAAGACTTTGTAAGCATCTTGCCCAGATTGGCCATAAGTGTGTTGTCCATAGCAGTGGTATATTTCTCAAAGTGGAAACTGTCTACGATGTGAAGTATCTTGTTCGGGATGTTGTTGTTCTCTTCTAACACCATTGTGACATCGTGACCTTTGCTCTTCAAATGCTCACCGAGTTTAGCAAAGTATAGAAAGTGACTTTGTGGCAAGACATACTTTCCAATAGCCGCAGTATATAATATGCATAGTATTAAATAAACAGTGAAACACTGCTTACGAATACAATGTACCTCACTTTGAGCAGTGTCAAGAAATGTCAACTTGAATACAATGAACTATTGAACAATGGGTAGCAGATATAGCGTTGGCCCACCAAAAATAATATTTTTTTTTATTGTGGCTAGAAAAATTCGGTTCCAGTTAAAATTAGAGGCAGTACCAGCGTAAATACAAAGTCCCTGGATCACTGAATTCTCGTACTCCCTCACCCGTAACGCGAGAACATACAATAAATATAATTTTTCGTCGTGCAGAATATCTCGAGCGAATAGATTTATATTGCATTTGTGTGTAAGAAAAAGAGTTTAATCCTATGAACACGGCAGTGTGCCATCTACAAAACTAATTAATGTTTGTAACAACTGGACAAAGTGGAAGAACTGATCGTCGTAGTCAGCAATGACGGTTTAAGTGTAAAAGAATAATAACATGATTGTTTTCTGGATAAGCACTGTGCGATGTTTACAATAATGCAACAATGTTTGCATATTCATTATGATAACTGTCCTGTCACAGACGCAGGCATGTTCGGCCTGAGTTGCTGCGTATAGTTACAATTTTGGTTTTGAAATAACAAAAAGCAGTATGTGTTTACACATTCGCACAACTTGGTCATGATACACTCTGTTTCTACTGAACCCACCCCACCATGGTGACGTAGTATCATATTTTTTTAGAGTAAATGCAGTCCGTCGCGAGTGAGTTGATTTTCAATGTGCAAAGCAAAGTAAAAATGTTAAATGAAAATATGTTGTTCTGACTAAATACAAGTCATTTAAAAATGATATACACTCCATAACTTGCGAGATTTACATTGAATTTGATAATATCTAATAAATCGACATTTGACCCTGTTCAAATGGTTGCAATAGAGAGGTGACGTCATCACCGCTCCTTGGCTGCATGCATGACGAACTGAAATAAAGAAAGGAATCTGAACGTATTTTTTTGTTATTTGTCATCATAAGCTCCAGGCTTTCATTAGTGCTCAGACACTGTTCTACTAATGGTTTGTGATTTAGTATGCCCAATCTTGGTCGATTTTGCTTCTGTCTTGGTCCACACTGTTTTCAGTGACTTCCTTCATCAATTGCCTGATGGGGTTGGTCATTGGTTGTGTTGTATGATGGATGGTTGAATTTAAATAGCGAATATTTAACAACATAGACTCGATTATTTATGCTCGTGAGGTTCTCACTTCGTCAGTAATAGTCAGTAATAATAAAATAACATTTTATGTGAATGATCAAGAATTTGAAAGAGTATCCTCATACATGTATAGCACAAGTAGACTTGAAAAACCGGGCTTTGAAGGCATTTTTCAAACTGAAGCAGATGCTCTACTCGGAAATTCAAGTTCCCATCAAAATATATCTGAAAATGTTTGACACTATGATCAAACCAATACTCACATATCGTGCAGAAATTGGACATTGTGACATAATAAAAAATAAAAACTATCTGATGCACTTATTGTCACCAATCGAAAAAATGCACTTAACATTTAGCAAGTACATACTGAAGATAAGCTGCAGGACCACAAACCTTGCCTGCTTATTAGAATTGAGTCGATACCCCCTAATAACTACATGTATCAGACATATGTTTAAATATTGGTTGAAAACAGCCTCATAAATGAAGAATACAAATTGGTAATCAATATGGATAACTCAGACAGCCAAATTTGGATCAATTGTATTAAAACAATTCTCAAAGACCTTAATATGGAACATGAGTTGGAAAATGGAAAGACTAATGGAAACAAATATCTAATAAATAATATTACTACAGCACTTGAAACAAACTTCAAAATAAACAGTAGGGATTCTCTAAACAGTGACAATAAACAACCAGAGAAATAAACTACTTACTTATAGAAAATTAAAAAAACTGAATTTGGACTTGAAAATTATCTGCTGACAGTAAATAACCCACTACACAGATCATCAATGACCAACTAAGATTAAGCGCACATGTTTTACAAATTGAAATGGGCAGATACCATAAAATTATCATTACTGAAAGAAGCTGTCCTGTATGCGATACAAATGATATTGAAGATGAAGAGCACTTTCTGTTAAAATGTCAGTTATACAAACGTGAAAGACAGATCCTTCTCAACACAATTAGACAGTGTTCTGAGGGCAACACTGATACAAGCTTTATCATGCTGTCATGCTAAAATGTCAAGCAAAATACATATACGAATGTTTCAACCTAAGAGAAAGCAAATTAAAAAAACAGCTGCCTCACACATATCTAAATTAGTAATCCTAACAATTACTTTATTAATTTGCATTTCTAACCCACTTTCAAGTTGTTGTTGTTGTAGTTTTGTTTAGTTTAGTTTAGTATAGTTTTTTTTTATTCTGAATGTTTCTAACATGGAATGACAACAATACGTTATTGTACTTAGATCTATGTCCATTTTCAGGAT